CATGATGAAAGTGAGACAGCAAATGTTTTAGAAAGAGCCAAGGGTATTTCAACAATGTCCTTGGTAGCCTTTCCAGAGAGAAAGGGATAAGGCAACAGTAGGCAGAGGCAGCACCCTGAGAGAACCCTTTCTTGACATAGGCTCTTATCTGGCCCTTGAAAGTCACTAGTTGCTCTACCCTACCCTCCAGGTGCTTCCCCCAAGCACAAGTTGGGGTTACCAATCTGGAACTGGAAAAAATAAGCGGTAATAAGTATAAGCATGTGGTATGCCGAGTGTGTGTATGAGTGCCTACAAGCTCTGAAAATGCTCAATCGCATCTTGAGCATTTTCAGACTCTGTACTGTACTCAGAAAATGGACAAGCCTTGGTGGTAGGAGAGAGGGTCCCCACATCAGATGATTTCACTGAATAGCACTGCTGCTTCCCCCTACCAGCTTACAAAGAGGAAATGCCCAATATCCACTGACTGATTTGGAAGAAATCCAGAGCAGACCTAAGCACAGCTAAGCTCCTGCCAGAATTCAAGTCTGATACTTGCCTGAGATCTGTGGCAAAGGATCTGAAGGATCCTTAAAGGATCGATGTGGCCAGGTTAGGGTGTCCAAATAAACGCTAATCTATATCAGCAAACCAGGATTCAGAAACAGACAAAAGGATGCCATCAGCAAATCATCTGGCAGGGAGCAGTTGCCAGCAGGTAAGGTTCCCCAAGTGCTAGTTTGGCAATAAGTCAGTGTCTCTTCCTAACTATATTCCCTTCAGAGCCTTCAACTGTTAACCTTTTAATAAGAAGTACCAACGAGACCAAGATCCTATGTTGAGACAGATGAAACTTAAAAAAGAAACACAAGCTTATAACTCAGTTTTAACATTTTATTGGGTAAATGATTTTAAAGGTAATAACAATAGTGTCAAAACTACTACAATATCTTTCCACAGCCATACCTTACAGACCCACATAAACCTTCTCATATTTTTTTTTGCTCATATTTAATATTTTAAAGCCATACATGTCATATAAAATGCCCATTTCCAATAGTTTCTTCAAACTATTAAGCAATTAAATGTGGAAGGAAGGAGGGCCTACTTATACTGGAAGGGGTTTTAGGTAATCTGTGATGTCTTACGGTAATCAAAAAACAGGTTGCTAAGAGAGAAGGAAAAGAAGAGCTACTCCAGGTAGCTTTTTGCTCATTACAAGTCTCACCATTGTATCACCAAGAACTCATTATTATGCTGGTGACCGATTCAAAGTAATTTTGGGGAACATATAAAACACTAAAATAACTTAGAAACTAGATCCAAATATTTCAAAAGTAATCAACTTTGATATACAAAAGTAGTCAGAGGTGGTTACAAAAGTTTGTTTGCTCAGTGCATCTATGTACCAGCGCAGTTACTGGGTCCAGAGCAAAATAAAAGGTTCATTTTCTTCTGAAATAGTAATAAAAAACAAGGAAAACATATCTTTGTATATAAAGGATCAATGCTGGTCTTAAGAATAATGTCATCAGAAACCCTTAAATCGAGAGGCACACAACGGGTTTCCACTTTTAAAAAATAAAAGGAAAGTCACCAGTTTATTTAAGTGGAGGAGATGCTCACACTCCTCAAATAAACTTAATTCATTTTAACATCACTAGCAAAAATCACTTAGAAACTGTACAAAAATAAAAAAGTTAACACATTTAATCCTGCAAGGTTTTTGTAAGGACTGGAAGGCAGGCTTTTGAAGCAGCATTTGGGCATGGCTGGGGGCTTCTTTGGTTTGATCTATCACACATAAGAGATGGAACCTATTCCAGATGACAGTTTCAAATTTCCTGCACATTTGAAGACAAGAGGCCAGTATACAAACTTCCGGTGTGCTGGGCATTGGGACTGTATGTGCTGGACTGAAAATATTACAACTGCTTTAAGCTTTAAGGGTGGGGGGAAGCAAGCCTTGCACTTCCTCCATCAATTTCACCGACCTCTCATGTTAGGGGAGACTACAGAGGATAGTAGCACATTCTCGTGCAGTCAGAAGGCCACTTGAGGGGTGGGGGACAGTTTGTTCTTTTAGAATCTGGTACCTGGCTGACCTTGTTTAAGAACAAGAAAACCCTTCCAGAAATGGAAGCCTTTTGCTACATACCAAAGCAAAGAACGTACTATTTCCAAGAAGAAAAATACCCAGTTGCATTTGAAAACAAAAAACTTAAATGGAACGAATTAACATTTAAAAGGGGCTATGTAAACTTTGTGCTACTCAAATGAAGTTCAAGTATTACTTCTGAGCTGTTTAAAGATCACTGAACTCATATAATATTCTGATGATAAGAGTGCAATTCACATTTGTGTTTCTGAACAAATAAACCACAACTGGCTAAAACACAACCTGTGCAATTAGAATCTTTGTCTGAGTTAAAGACATGCTACATATTTCAACATGTTCAAAGTTAATTCATACCACATATTTAACAGCTTTGTATATACGACAAAGGTGAAAGGGTCTAGCATTTGTTTGAAGCACACCATTACAGTTTGTATAACACCCTTTACACTACAAAGTCTTTTAGTCAACAGCTACTTAGAGACAAAAATGCACCTTGCATTAACTCGAATACAAAAGGAGACAAAACTATCCTTTTCCCCCAAGCCACGTTGGGAAATATTGCTGACCTCGTCCTTTGAAGCCTGCAGGATGGTTATTTCTTCAGTATAACATTATTACACTGCTAAGAAAATCTGTATAACATCTGCATATATCAAGGATTTTTAAAAATCTGATATGATTTTAGAGTCCGCATGACCAGTCACGTGACCTGCTCAAGATTGATTAGCACCGTTAAATAAACACACATATATGTATGTATGTATGTATGTATAAATATATGTACACACACACATCTATGTATGTAATAAATCTTTGCTAAAAAACTTCTAACCATAAGCTCACCCGGGACGAGGAGCGTGTTGAACTGATGAGATGATGGATAAGATGGATTTCACGATAATATTGGTCTATTTTGTCTCTCTTCAGTTTGCTTATTTTATATACTTTTTTTTTTTTTTTTTTTTTTTTTTTTTTTTTTTTTTTTTTGCAGCAGACAATATCATTCAGCTTGTGCTCAGTTTCCCTATAAGGGTAAGAAAAGTTTCTATCAGGTAGCCACTTGTTTTTATACTGAAAGACTAATCTGCTCCAAAATGCTCCCAAGTAGAAATGACAGGACTGAAAATCTCTTTCTAAAGCCCAACAGCTTTTTCTGACTAATCTCTAGATTCATTGAAACTGGCTACCAAGATTGCATTTCAGGCTAACAATTGGCTTCTTAGTTAAGGCATCACAACTAAAAATGGTTATTTCAACAATGGATGCTGTGGATGAAGGAATACCAACAAACTTCTAAGAACTCTCATCAAAAACTAAAGCAGTTTGCTTTGCCCCAGTGGCAAGCAGAAGGAATTCAGCCAATTATCTCACAAACTAGGAAAGGATTTTTGAATTCTGAACTAGCAGTCTGTCACTTGTCACAGCAACTATATGTATAAACTATATCATTTTGATATTCAGTGATATTTCTTATAGTTTTAGAATATATATTCTGCAGCATACTTTATCACTTGATATGTTGGCTTCCTGTTTAAAAAAGTTATATATATTTTTCCAAAGGGGTGTGTGTGTATGGTATATATATATATATATATATATATATATGAAAAAAAATATATATATATATACCATGTATATACACATACACATATATATGGAGAAATATATATATATATATATGTATATATATATATATGTACACCACAGAGACACACACAGACACACAGACACACACACATAACCATAAAATGAAGGTCATCTTTCTCCAGAATAATCTGTCATTTTTCCTGGGGATATATGCATGGACCTCCTATTGACATCAGGAAGTTCTCTTTGTATGCATCACGGGAAGACTATCCCTGCAGATGCTATTTTCTAACTATGGCATGTCTGAATGCCAACTCCATTTTCACAGGTGTGACATAACATCTTATCAATGTAGTAAATGTGTTTCTATCAAAAGTATGTAGTGCAGAAAGAGATTCAAGCTATTTTATAGTATCTCTAAAACTCTAGTATTGTCCCCATGACAAACATATCTGAAATCACGGCAAATATGAACTTTTGTTTCACTAAATTACTTTTACCATATCTTTAGATGGTAGCTAAAATTGACTTTAGCCAATCATGATATATTGAAACCTAGAGCTAATGAATTTAAATTAATATAAAATAGACAAATGTCTCTTTTTGGTTATTTGCTCAAAATAAATTTTTTCAGCTTAAAAAAATACTTAAGAGTAAGAAATTTGTCTAATCTGCTGTTTCACATATAGAAACAATAAAATTTTACAAGAATATTTTTCTAAATTGCCTTTTTTCTAACCCCTCTTAATTCCACTTAATTATATTCTTCTCAAAGGCACTAAATTCTGTATCTGCTCTCTTCCTAATATTTGCTGCTCTTATAAATGATTCCTGTAGCCTTTTCGAAAGGTAGTTTGTACTTTCTCAAAAAACAGTGTTTTAGTTTGCAAATCGGTTCTATAAAGTGGTCAGGCAGTCTCTTCTATAGTAACCAGCACAATAGGCATAAATAATTTCCCTCTCTGTGACAAGCCCTATCATGGACCTTTGAATGCTCACGACTAGAACTAAAGTTCATATATTTTCACCATGGGAAAAACATATACTTAAGGAGTGAAGACACAACTACTAAACTGTCATAGCAAAGTGAATTTCAGACAAAAATCAAGAGTAATATACAAATACCTGAATTTGATATGAATTAATCCAAAACTCAGGTATCAAAAAAAAAAAAATACACACACACACACACACACACACACACACACACACACACTATCTTACTGAGGAAAACTAAAGACAAACCCAAGTAAAATCCCCAAAATCTGCACACTTTCTTCCATCCACAGTCAAAGGAAGGGAAGGAGGGAAGGAAGAAGGAAAACAGGAAGCAAAACAGAAAGAAAGGCAAGAAGGACGGAAAAACAGAAACCTGACTGAGATAGCAGAGCAAAATTCTACATAATATTGTAGGGAACAAAAACCCCAAAGTTATATATGCTGCAAAAAAATCAATTATCTAAAATAATAAAACAGGATCTTAACAAATGCGATTTTCCTACCCGTTACCATGATGATCTTAATTGACGATGTCGAAGCTTCACCATGGCAACGGAAACTATCATCATAAAATGGTACAATAAAAGAGATAGCTAGACCAAGAAGGTGTAGGGTCTCCTGGGAAGAGGTCTGCAGAGAGGCCCAGTGACTGGTTGTGCGGCTCAGTGTCAGGAATAATGGTTGTATGGTGGAAGGGGATGCCCAATGCCATTTTGGAAATGATGATGCTGGCGATGAGCAAGGTATTCAGCATAGCTCAGGGTCATCTTTTCACTACGATACCTGAAATAAAGTCAGGGAAGAGAAAAGTTAACATCGAGACATAAGTGACATGCCATTGTCAGAGCTAGGAAGGACCTTAGAGATACTTTTATAGACCAGCAAATGCGGTCCAAGAGAGAAGCAGTGACTGCCCAAGGTCACAGAGGTAGTAAGTAGCAAAGCTAAGATGAGAACCTGGAAATCCAAAGTCTGAGTCCAGTGCTCTTTGAACTCTATTACTCCTTGTTTAAATTGTTCTTTTAGAAATTCTTATTGCCCCTTCAGCCTCAGTTTTCTAACAGGAGTATGCATCTCTTCAGTTGATTCTTTTACTGTTCCTTTCTTTGTCCACACAGCTACTTAGGTCTTACCATTAAGTAACAACAACAAAAACAACTTTTCTTAATTCTGGTCTCCTGAACTCTTGTTTTTCCCCATGTCTGGCTTTCTTTTCATTGCCACATTTCTCAAACAGTTATGTATATTTTCTGCCTTCAATCCCCATCTCACACTACTCCTCAGCTCAGTGCTCCTTGGCTTCCGCTGCCACTCTTCCACAGAAATGGCTGTCAGAAGGCTGCCTCTGATTCAGCTTAACTTTTCCATTTGCTCACCCCACCCTTTTTGAAGCTCTCTGGTGCTATGGGTTCTATACCTCCACATGCCCCTAGTTCTCCCCTGCCTCTCAGATTGTTCCTTATCTCTGAATGCTTCCATCCCTGCCTTGTAGAATTTTTTTTTGGTTCTGTATTCAGTTCTTTTGACTCTATACTGTTCACCAGCCCACCTCTCCACAGTGAACCCTATCCTTATAATTTCAATCATCTTTAGCCACGAGCGCGTACATTTTCATTGACCTACTAGACATTTCTATATAGATATCCTAAGAAGCACCTCAAATCCAAAATCAATGCATAAACTCACCACGCTCCTCTTGTCTCTACTTTGGTTAAAGGGATTACGTTGGTCCCTTTAATCTATATTAAGGCCTTGACTTCCTTATTTCTAAATGATGACCCAGTCCTTTCATTTCTTCCACAGTATTTTCATATCGATCCCCACCTTTCTTCCCATCTCACTGCCACAGCTTCAGTGAAGGTCCCCGTTGCACCTCTTTTGGACTGTTGCCACAGATTCTTAGATAATACCAATGCTTCCTGGTTTATTTTCCTATTTCCAATTCCATTCTTTTACCTCCCCAAGTTCATCTCATTAAAATTCTTCAATAGCTACCAACTGCCTATAGAATCAGGTCCAAACTAATTACTCTGGAACTCAGGACCCTCACTGGTCTGCCCAACCTACCTTCTGGGCCATATTTTTCTCTAATGATCAGCTTCTCTATTACACTGAAAGACCAGCCCAATCAGACTATTTTGCATTCTCCTAACTTTCTTTGTACATCACCACCCTTGGCTCACAAGGTCTTCCTTAAGGGAATCCCTTTCCTCCTGCACACTCGCATCTGTCAAATATTCTACCAATTCCTCAAACTGAGTCTGCAATGGACCTCTTTGAAACCATCTGTTATCCCCCTCCCACTCTCTTAGAATTCTTCTTTCCCCACTTCATGGGAATGGATCGCATATTACCCATCATATTATGGTTTAGATTAATAATTTTGTCCATGTCCCTTCTATTTTCCTCCACTGTGAACTCAAAGAGAGCAGAGATGGAGGCATTTTTGAATTTGTCACTCCTCCGAGCTGAGAATAGGCCATTTTCAGACTATAAGCATTCAATGTAGTTTTATGGAATTCAAATAAATGGAACCAGCAGCCCATTTTCCTAAAATGTATGGTATTTTCCTTTTTAAATAAGCATTCCTATTTTGTCATGCTGAAATTTATATAGCATTTCAGTTTAGCTTAATTGTGTTTTTCAGCAAGCTAGCAAGCTTTCATGGTAGACTTCTATCACTGCCAAAATTCTGAGGTTAAATTAGAATTTTTTGGACTGTTTATCAGAATCCTGGGGTTCTGCTAAGTAATGTCAAAAGCTAGCCAATAGCTAATTCAAGTACTTTCGCCAATAAAGTAGTCTAAAGTCTCCAAGGGCTTGCTCGTACAAAAGCCAGAGTAATCACACAGAGCTAAAGATGGGAAAGATAGGCTCATACATCATACAGGGTTTACTGCCAAGCAGAGGTCCATTGTATCCACCCTCAGTATGACCCTGCCATTCATTTCCACTCTGTTTCAGAAAAGAAAAGTGTAGAGAGACCAAAGAAATCAAAGGATTATAGCATACACATCAAAATGTACAGGTTAGCCTTGTGCTCGAAAATGCTTTCTGTACCTGGTCAGTTTTATGGTTTTCCTGAATTCATTAGTAATTGGAGCTTTGTATCCTCCTTTCCTCAATAAGGAGTCTATGGTCTGAATATGGTCCCATCCTGTGGAGAGTTGACCAGATAAAATATCAGTCAAGCACATGTAACAAACACCTTTCATTAAACACAAAATGACCTTGTAGAGGTCAGCTATCACTGTTACCAAATGCCGTCAAATCTTTTGGTCCTAAAAACAATCACACAGAAGAGCTAAGGTTTCATCCTCTACAAGAGAAGGGTCATCAGCACACTCCTTAAATTCTAGCAATTCACAGTATCAAACAACATTGGCTCCTTTATCTTCACATTTGAAGGCAAGGGGTCTAAGGGGCTGGCAGAAATTGCTCAGTCATGACTGTAACAAACCATATCTGTTGTACTTTCCGCTAACAGTGGCATCTTTAAAAGGGAAGGAAAAGCCTATATGCCATTTTGCCAACTCAGTAGTATTTAGGATTCCCATACTACCTCACAGTAACCGTTGTTCCTTATGGTATCTTCTGTAATTCTGTAATCATTCAAGTTTGTGTGCAGTATTCAAGGGTATTTTTTATTAGTTCTGACATGGAAGGTATATCTGAAGCACTCTATCTTTTACTTATGCTTTACAAAGTTAATGATACTAGGAGATTAAGACATTTTCTAAAGCAACCCAAATAAATTTTCAGGTGACTGCCTTGAAGACTTTCTGATCTGGGGATTTAATGGCACTAAATTTTGCTATTATGTATGTCACATTTATAAGACAAACATGGGAAAACTGAATTACAAATGCTTTCTGATGAGAAGAAAAGCTCCCCAAGATAAAAGATTCATTTCAACTAACATGAAACCAGAATTTAGTAGTTGCTAAGAAAGGACAAAATACTTACAGAGTGGAAAGTTATTTTGTGCTACAATGTTGGTTCATATAGTTCTATGCTCTATGTGTGAAATAGGAATATTCTGTTTAGGAAGTGTAGACCAAGCATATAAAACACTAATATTTCATGTTTTCTCAATGCTCTGATCTTAATGGGAAACCTACAATCTTAATATTAGCAGGATGAGTAATGGCAACCACCTAAGAATGAAACATTTGATACTTACAATGACAATGAACTATGTGGCTGATTGTCAAACAAAAAGCTTGTTTATGCCACAATGGAATATGGGAAAAGGCATTTCAAATCAGTAGCAAATTGTTGCCTAAAATGAAACCCAACTAATATAAATTCTGCTTTTTCAAAAATTTACACTTATGGGTTTATGCCATCAAACTTCAATGGAGGGATTCAACTTCTGTGAGTACTTCACCGGCTTGATACAGACATTGCAGTGGCAGTGATGGAAGAGTCATTTCTTATAATTTGACACTGTTTAATTATCGGACATAACTGCAAGGTCAGATAACGCATTTCAATTTGTATATTTGTTTAAATTCTTCACCAGATCATATGAAATAAAGTACAACAATGACCTTGCTCCTTTGCAACCTCCGGTAGGTAGGTGGCGGTGCGTTTTGATCCTTTTTCATTGATGAATTCTATTCTAATGCCATGTACACCCACCTGAAAGAAATTGGCAGTTTTATTAGTACAGTCTTCTTCAAAGAATCAGAAAGAAAAGGTTATAATTTAACTTTCAAGAGAATGCAGTTCTTCCATTCCCCTTGTTTTTAGAAGGACATATCAGTTTTCTGTTTCCAAAGCTTTGACATTGGATTTGAAGGCCATTATGATGGCCATAGAGATGGAAAATGTTGATTTGCATGTGCCCAACATGTACTAGGCTATGATACTGTGTTTGGAAAACCAGAACGACTATTCTGAAGCTGTGTGTAGAATAAGACGGTTGATGGCAAAAATCCTGCCCCCACTCCCAAATTGTAGCTCATGCCAGATAAGGAACTAGAGACAAAGGAAACTGACTTCAAAGATATAGCAAACAACCATCCTGTTTTGCAGGTACACTCACCACTTCTGATTAAGTTCCAAAATTTTCGGTGCTGATCCTCCCCCAAACTGTCTCCTCCCTTTAAAACCTTAAGTTACATGTAGGCAGGCAAACACAATCAGATAAGATTGAAAAATAATAATGAAAACAACCAGATCCTACATCATCACCCAGTGTAGATAGCATTTCTTTATAAATGCATAAAAGCTTAGAGTGGACTAGTGGCAGACCTTCACTGTCCATCTGCACCATTGTCTTCACACAGCTCTACTAAATTTAGGAATAAAGATTTCAAATCACTTCACTGTAGTGCATTATTGCTGTCTCCTTATATACTAGCCGAGAGACCACTGTAACTTTTTTATGTAAAACAAGCTTGTGGTGATACCCTTAAAAAGGGCATCTAAGTAACTGTGGGCAATTCTTGCTGATTTTTAAAAAATAATGTGCTTTTCCCTTGATTCACATATAATCGAAAGGAATATGTTCTTTCCCCTCGTATCTCACATAGAATAGTGTACAGAGCTAAAGATCAAAATTAAAAGTTAACTTCTTTGCAAACATTGATAAAAATGAAATTTCAAAAGCATAATGATCCCATTCTATTCTCTCATATCTGTGGTTGCCTCATATCAATGGTTCCCAAGTGGAGGGTCAGGTTGTGCAAGGTACTGGAATGAAGATGTAGGACCAGGTAAACATTATTACCCAAGACGGAGGCTTCTTTTCAGAGCACGTGAGTAAAGTCACAGCTCTTTATACTTTCTATGTGTATGGATGTAAAGGTCTAGAAGAGGAAAAGGGGTCGATGAAAACTTCTTTTGTTTCTTCTGCCCTCAGCCTAAGATTTTCCAATGTTTTCAGGAATAAAAAAATCCTCTGGGAAAATCCATTTCACTCTTTCCTCAGGTCTTTACACATGCATCCACTGGAGCCTGTCAGGTCTTCTGAAGAATTTATGTTTTTTTAAAAAAATGATTATTATTAAAGCACATCTCTGGCTATTTCTTCTATCTATTTAATATCAGTATTTTTATGAATCTCTTTCTACTAAAAATGCAACCAGGGCAGATATTTAAAAACGAACACAATACTGCCTCCCATGCCCTGTGGGAAATGACTATACACAGCTGAGAAGACATACGAGTGCTTAGCTATCAGACATTTCCAGGATAAGGGATATCCACTAATCTCTCCAGTGCCTGATGAGACAATGACAAATTTGCAACACTTTCTGTATACTGACTTCCTGATCAGTAGCTTTGATGTTTTTTCTTCGACAATATCAGATTCCTCATAATTTGTTTTTTAAAAAATATACAACATAAGTAATTTATACTCCATCAACCACTGAAGTGAATTTTGAAACTTCAACTCTATTTATCAAAAATCTGTCATGTTAAAATTGAAAAGAATTTTGGTGTTTATTAAGGTGTCTATTCAAAATTGTGATAGGAAGAATGTCTCCCTATCTGTGAGATGAGAGTGTCAGACAAAATTAATGATATTTAACTGGCATGGGGTGGGAAGGGGGGCTGCAACATTTATCAGAAGTTCAGGAGGTTTCATGCTTCAACAAATATATTTTGGAAAAAGAACAGCTCCCCAGGTAATTTTTACTCTAATTGAACTAGGTAACCTCTAATAAGCATTCTAGTTCTGACAAACTGTGGCTACATAATAAGATTTTAAAAAGTGATTTAGGCAAATGGGAGTAATTTAGACACTTAAGTCCTTTCTTTACAGGAGTACATCCCGTATTCTTGAACAAAAATGTCAGATTTTTAATGTCTAGCAATTTAACAATTAGAAGAAGCTAAGAATTGTGTGGTATGTGAATATCTTAATTAAGCTGTGTGTGTATGGATACAAAGGACACATTGGCTGAAACAAAAATTACTCACAAATAAGACTGCTTTATTTACTCTGCATTTTGAGAAGGTCCCGCCATCAAATTTGATAAGAAAAAAACCAAATTCTCCAGTTTTGATTTAGTAAGACATTTACAACTTTTAATTATTTTCTGGGTTCCTATGACTCGGAACAATTGAAAGCCCCTGTAAATTGAACTGTAAGTATAGTGGTTTTAACGTGACTCCTTTTCATGAACTTTTTTCATAGGTGAGAAATACTCTCCACAAAGCTACAAAGCCAAAACCAGAGTGACTCATTTTTTTTCAGCTAGTAGAATCAGGAGAATGCTAATAATGTTTTTAACAAAATCAAATCATAGTAGCTTTCTTTCTGTCACCTACTGAGCGACACCATTTTCTTTCCTCCTAGAACCACAAGCCACTAAATAGTCATACTGCACAATCAAAACAGAAGAGGAATATGGCCTGCTGTGGAGAATGACCAATTCTGGCCAACCTGTGGAAATCACTGGCTTTGCAAAGTTAGTCATCTCCAATGAAATGAGCACCAAAACTAATTCCATATTGTTTCAGGAAGGCATCTGTCACAGATGCAACTCTAAAATGTAACCCTCATGCATAATAATTTAATCTTCCCTTATACAGACTGGAGAATCCTTTGGCCCAGCAACATCCCAAGAGAAAAAGGCTATAGTCGCAGTTATAAACTAAATAAAAGATCATCGAACCAGGGAACTGGGATTCCCCGAAGCAGATCTTTAAAACGCTACCACAGTAACTTCCTGTTTCTAAGGATGGATAAGGAGACAGCGTATGAGAATACTATGTCACCAAACATACCCTTAACTAATCCTGCCACAATCTGAAGTACAGCCAGGTGGGTAAAAACTGGAAATTTGCAAATCTAGCTGTATGGGTCTGCAGGTTATTTTCAAAATTACTAGAAGGTCTATGAAAAAAAAATGCTTTCAAGGTCCATCAATTGCGATAATATTCTTTTAATCAAGACTGTACTTTTGCTAAGCAAAGCTATAAATCAACTCCAATGGTAGTAAATTAAATGTAGGACTATAGATAAGAGGATATGGAATTAAGCAGAGCTGTATCTGTGTGTGCTGATAGAACATTAAGACCAGTTCAACGGATTCATATTTCATGCTAAAAAGAAAGCCATATTTATTCTGAACCATTCCATAGCAAGTGATTTTTATTAATGCTATTATACCATCTTTTGTTTTTAACGTTGTTCAGCATGATTAAATATCAAGATTAATGTTAAGACCATAAAATATATCTTGATTATTCTGGGGTTGATTATCCAGTTTAGGGATTATGCATCCCTAGCTCCACCTGGCCTCAGCCCCATCCTCTTTCATCTCTTGTCCATTTCTCTATTTTTTTACTCCTCTATCAGACAGCACATGATCACAGAAAAAAATAGATACATACAAATTAATCAATTTTGCTACACAGTAAAAGGTTTGGTAGGAAAAGAGATTACAAATAATGGCTAAAATGAAGCTTTGAGACTGTCTGCAGATTTCATTTATCCTTGTTATCAAGTCCCGTGTTAGAAACGTGGCTTCATTTAAAACTATTATCCTCTAATGCAGTGACCCTCAACATGAGCATTTTTAAAAAGTACCCTCTCCCATATTATATTCCTTATAATTGCACAGTCAAAACTTAATATTCCCTAGTCTGTCTAATAAGGCAAGTGCTAGCCTTGTAATCTACAAGCAGCACTACAAAAGGGTCTCATTTTTACTTGTGAGCCTTGTCAGCAAGCCAACAATCTGAATATGCTGAAACATTAAAAAGAGTCATCTGGCTGAAAGCATAAATAAGTATAAAATGTGCTGTTTGAGTTCAGTAGCCTCCATGTAAACCTGACAGTTTGAGTCCACAATTACCTCCACAGTCCTGACCCTCAAAGCTTAATCTTCCCCTGATTATATCCTGGCCAACAGAACCACTCTACTTCCTTGGGTGGCATCCTGTTTTAGCAAATACCATGGTCAGTTCCATTCTTCCCTATTTTCAGAACCAAATGCTGGGTTTCCCTGTAATCATATGGCCATGGCTTACTCTACTCATTTTCAGTGAGTTATCTGAATAACATAAAAAATATCAAGAGGTCAAAGAATCGAAAGTTGTATGACATGTCTTTTTGGATGAAATCATTTGGCAAAATATGCTTTGCAATTAACAAAGCATCCAGTTACTGGCTATTCACATAAGAGTGACCTGCCAGGCTCAATATGCCAGTCCAATTGAAGTGAATGAAAGGACACTGTTCCTAATGAGAGGAGCTCAGGATGTTTGGCACACCCCCTAACCTTTAGAGGCTGGTATCACAGAATAAATGCATGCTTTCTCACAAAACAGCCCTGGGTACCACGGACAGAAACAAACACTGCATTGGATAGTCCATGGGTCTGACTCAGAGTCTGGTGTTTCTTATATTCCTGGGAGTAAAAATCTGTATGTGCTATATCCCCTAACACAGGCATCCCCAAACTAGGGCCCGCAGGCCGCATGTGGCCCCCTGAGGCCATTTATCCGCGCCACCCCCCGCCACACTTCAGGAAGGGGCACCTATTTCATTGGTGGTCAGTGAGAGGAGCACAGTATGTGGCGGCCCTCCAGCGGTCTGAGGGACAGCGAACTGGCCCCCTGTGTAAAAAGTTTGGGGACGCCTGCCCTAACAGCACAAAACCTATGGCGTAGCATGGTCCACT